CGACCATTTTATCCCGACGTTTCATCGTATTGACATCCACTTATTGTTCTGGACTGGGAAAATATCTTCTTTTTCCCACTTTCAGTCGCTGCGTTTTTTCCGTCCTCCGATGACGGGACAATCGATGCTTTTGGATGTTTCTGTTGCAGATTATGGTGAATAGGAGTTTTGACTGACTCCCCCCGGACATGTTCCCCGCCGTGGCATCCCTGCCATGGCTTTCCCTGCATGGCATTCCCGCCATGGTATCCCCTCCATGGCATCCCCACCGTGGCATCCCCTCCATGGCATCCCCTCCATGGGATCTCCGCCATGGTATCCCCCTCCATGGCATCCCCTGCATGGCATCCCCTCCATGGCATCCCCTCCATGGCTTCCCCTGCATGGTATCCCCCCTCCATGGCATCCCCTCCATGGCATCCCCCTCCATGGGCATCCCCTGGCATGGTTATCCCCTGCATGGCATCTCTGCCATGGCATCCCCTCCATGGCATCCCCCTCCATTGGTATCCCCTCCATGGCATCCCCGCCATGGCATCCCCTCCATGGCATCCCTGCCGTGACATCCCCTCCAAACAGGACCAGTGGTCTCAAAATAGAATTTATTCTTTGTGCAAGTTTGTCATCAGCCAATCCACAGCTGGGATAACGCACCCAAACATGAATTTGCACGCCTGTGTAAGACTGGAGGGGTGGAGCCAGTACAATGTGCAAGACTGAAGGGGAGGAGCCTGCACGCCTGTGCAAGACTGAAGGGGAGGAGCTGGTCACATTAACTGCACACCTGTGCAAGACTGATCTCAAGGGGAGACTGGTTACACCATTCAAGACTGAAGGGGAGGAGCCAATAACACCTGTGCAAGACTGAAAGGGAGGAGCCGGTACACCTGTGCTAGACTGAAGGGGAGGAGCCGGTACATTTGTGTGTAAGACTGAAGGGGAGGAGCCGGTAACACCTGTGCAAGACTGAAGGGGAGGAGCCAGTTACACCTCTGCAAGAGACTGAAGGGGAGAATCCGGTACACCTGTGCAAGCCTGAAGGGGAGGAGCCGGTACACACCTGTGCAAGACTGAAGGGGGAGGAGCCAATACACCTGTGCAAGACTGAAGGGGAGGAGCTCCGTACACCTGTGCAAGACTGAAGGGGAGGAGCCGATACACCTGTGCAAGACTGAAGGGAGGAGCCTAGGTTCTACACCTGTGCAAGACTGAAGGGGAGGGGAGGGCCGGTACACCTGTGCAAGACTGAAGGGGAGGAGCCTGGTACACCTGTGCAAGACTGAAGGGGAGGAGCCGGTACAACCTGTGCAAGACTGAAGGGGAGGAGCCGGTACACCTGTGCAAGACTGAAGGGGAGGAGCCGGTACACCTGTGCAAGACTGAAGGGGAGGAGCCGGTACACTGTGCAAGACTGAAGGGGAGGAGCAGGTACACACCTGTGCAAGACTGAAGGGGAGGATCCGGTACACCTGTGCAAGAACTGAAGGGGAGGAGAGAGCCGGTACACCTGTGCAAGACTGAAGGGGAGGAGCCATACACCTGTGCAAGACTGAAGGGGAGGAGCCGGTAACCTGTGCAAGACTGAAGGGGAGAGCCAATACACCTGTGCAAGACTGAAAGGGGAGGAGCCGGTACACCTGTGCAAGACTGAAGGGGAGGAGCCGGTACAACTGTGCAAGACTGAAGGGGAGGAGCAGGTACACCTGTGCAAGACTGAAGGGGAGGAGCCGATACACCTGTGCAAGACTGAAGGGGAGGAGCCGATACACCTGTGCAAGAATGAAGGGGAGGAGCCGGTACACCTTGTGCAAGACTGAGAGGGGAGGGAGCCGGTACACCTGTGCAAGACTGAAGGGGAGGAGCAGGTACACCTGTGCAAGACTGAAGGGGAGGAGCAGGTGTATACACTTGTGCAAGACTGAAGGGGAGGATCCGGTACACCTGTGCAAGATGTGAAGGGGAGGAGCCGGGTACACCTGTGCAAGACTGAAGGGGAGGAAGCCGGTACAACCTGTGCAAGCCTGAAGGGGAGGAGCCGGTACACCCAGTGCAAGACTGAAGGGGAGGAGCTGGTACACCTGTGCAAGACTGGAGGGGAGGAGCCGTACACCTGTGCAAGACTGAAGGGGAGGAGCAGGTACAACCTGTGCAAGACTGAAGGGGAGGAGCCGATACACCTGTGCAAGAAGCTGAAGGGGAGGAGCCGGTACCACCTGTGCAAGACTGAAGGGGAGGAGCCGGTACACCTGTGCAAGACTGAAGGGGGGGAGCAGGTACACCCCTGTGCAAGACTGAAGGGGAGGAGCCGTACACCTGTGCAAGACTGAAGGGGAGGAGCCGTACACCTGTGCAAGAATGAAGGGGAGAGCGCCGTACACCTGTGCAAGATACTGAAGGGGAGGAGCCAGGTACACCTGTGCAAGACTGAAGGGGAGGAGCAGGTACACCTGTGCAAGACTGAAGGGGAGGAGCCCGGTACACCTGGCAAGACTGAAGGGGAGGAGCCGGTACACTGTGCAAGACTGAAGGGGAGGAGCCGGTACACCTGTGCAAGGCTGAAGGGGAGGAGCCGGTACACCTGTGCAAGACTGAAGGGGAGGATCCGGTACACCTGTGCAAGCCTGAAGGGGAGGAGCAGGTACACCTGTGCAAGACTGAAGGGGAGGAGCCGTCGATACACCTGTGCAAGACTGAAGGGAGAGGAGCCGTACACCTGTGCAAGAATGAAGGGGAGGAGCCGGTACACCTGTGCAAGACTGAAGGGGAGGAGCAGGTACACCTGTGCAAGACTGAAGGGGAGGAAGCAGGTACACCTGTGCAAGACTGAAGGGGAGGAGCCGGTACACCTGTGCAAGACTGAAGGGAGGATCCGGTACAAACCTGTGCAAGACTGAAGGGGAGGAGCCGGTACCACCTGTGCAAGACTGAAGGGGAGGAGCCGGTACACCTGTGCAAGACTGAAGGGGAGGAGCCGGTACACCTGTGCAAAGACTGAAGGAGGATCTGGTACACCTGTGCAAGACTGAAGGGGAGGAGCCAATACACCTGTGCAAGACTGAAGGGGAGGAGGAGCCGATACACCTGTGCAAGACTGAAGGGGAGGAGCCAATGATACACCTGTGCAAGACTGAAGGGAGGAGCCGGTACACCTGTGCAAGACTGAAGGGGAGGAGCTGTACACCTGTGCAAGACTGAAGGGGAGGAGAGGTGACACCTGTGCAAGAATGAAGGGGAGGAGCCGGTACACCTGTGCAAGACTGAAGGGGAGGAGCCGGTAATACACCTGTGCAAGACTGAAGGGGAGGAGAGCCGGTTACACCTGTGCAAGACTGAAGGGAGGAGCCGGTACACCTGTGCAAGACTGAAGGGGAGGAGCCGGTACACCTGTGCAAGACTGAAGGGGAGGATCCGGTACACCTGTGCAAGACTGAAGGGGAGGAGCCGGTACACCTGTGCAAGACTGAAGGGGAGGAGCCGGTACACCTGTGCAAGACTGAAGGGGAGGAGCCCGGTACACCTGTGCAAGCCTGAAGGGGAGGAGCCGGTACACCTGTGCAAGACTGAAGGGGAAGGAGGAGCCGATACACCTGTGCAAGACTGAAGGGGAGGAGCCGGTACACCTGTGCAAGACTGAAGGGGAGGAGCAGGTACACCTGTGCAAGACTGAAGGGGAGGAGCCGGGTACACCTGTGCAAGACTGAAGGGGAGGAGCCGGTACACCTGTGCAAGACTGAAGGGGAGGAGCCGGTACACCTGTGCAAGACTGAAGGGGAGGATGGGTACACCTGTGCAAGACTGAAGGGGAGGAGCCTGGTACACCTGTGCAAGACTGAAGGGGAGGAGCCGGGTACACCTGTGCAAGACTGAAGGGGAGGAGCCATGGTACACCTGTGCAAGACTGAAGGGGAGGAGCCGGTATACACTGTGCAAGACTGAAGGGGAGGAGCCGGTACACCTGTGCAAGGACTGAAGGGGAGAGCTGTACACCTGTGCAAGACTGGAGGGGAGGAGCCGATACACCTGTGCAAGACTGAAGGGGAGGAGCCGGTACACCTGTGCAAGACTGAAGGGGAGGAGCCCCCGGTACACCTGTGCAAGACTGAAGGGGAGGAGCCGGTACACCTGTGCAAGACTGAAGGGGAGGAGCTGGACACCTGTGCAAGACTGAAGGGGAGGAGCCGGTACACCTGTGCAAGACTGAAGGGGAGGAGCCGGTACACCTGTGCAAGACTGAAGGGGAGGAGCCGGTACACCTGTGCAAGACTGAAGGGGAGGAGCCAATACACCTGTGCAAGACTGAAGGGGAGGAGCGAGTACACCTGTGCAAGACTGAAGGGGAGGAGCCGATACACCTGTGTGCAAGACTGAAGGGGAGGAGCCGGTACACCTGTGCAAGACTGAAGGGGAGGAGCCGGTACACCTGTGCAAGACTGAAGGGGAGGAGCCGGTACACCTGTGCAAGACTGAAGGGGGAGGAGCCGGTACACCTGTGCAAGACTGAAGGGGAGGAGCCGGTACACCTGTGCAAGACTGAAGGGAGGAGCAGGAGCCGGGGTACACCTGTGCAAGACTGAAGGGGAGGAGCCGATACACCTGTGCAAGAATGAAGGGGAGGAGCCGGTACACCTGTGCAAGACTGAAGGGGGAGGAGCAGGGTACACCTGTGCAAGACTGAAGGGGGGGAGCCGAGGTACACCTGTGCAAGACTGAAGGGGAGGAGCCGGTACACCTGTGCAAGACTGAAGGGGAGGAGCCGGGTACACCTGTGCAAGACTGAAGGGGAGGAGCCGGTACACCTGTGCAAGACTGAAGGGGAGGAGCAGGTACACCCTGTGCAAGACTGAAGGGGAGGAGCAGGTACACCTGTGCAAGACTGAAGGGGAGGAGCCGGTACACCTGTGCAAGACTGAAGGGGAGGAGCGGTACACCTGTGCAAGACTGAAGGGGAGGAGCCGGTACACCTGTGCAAGGCTGAAGGGGAGGAGCAGGTACACCTGTGCAAGACTGAAGGGGAGGAGCCGGTACACCTGTGCAAGACTGAAGGGGAGGAGCCGGTACACCTGTGCAAGACTGAAGGGGAGGAGCCGATACACCTGTGCAAGACTGAAGGGGAGGAGCCGATACACCTGTGCAAGAATGAAGGGGAGGAGCCGGTACACCTGTGCAAGACTGAAGGGGAGGAGCAGGTACACCTGTGCAAGAGACTGAAGGGGAGGAGCCGGTACACCTGTGCAAGACTGAAGGGGAGGAGCCGGTACACCTGTGCAAGACTGAAGGGGAGGAGCCGGTACACCTGTGCAAGACTGAAGGGGAGGAGCCGCGTACACCTGTGCAAGACTGAAGGGGAGGAGCCTGGTACACCTGTGCAAGACTGAAGGGAGGATCCGGTACACCTGTGCAAGCCAAGGGGAGGAGCCAATACACCTGTGCAAGACTGAAGGGGAGGAGGCCTGATACACCTGTGCAAGACTGAAGGGGAGGAGCCGATACACCCTGTGCCGGTACACCTGTGCAAGACTGAAGGGGAGGAGCAGGTACACCTGTGCAAGACTGAAGGGGAGGAGCCGGTACACCTGTGCAAGACTGAAGGGGAGGAGCTGATACACCTGTGCAAGACTGAAGGGGAGGAGCCGGTACACCTGTGCAAGAATGAAGGGGAGGAGCCGGCGTACACCTGTGCAAGACTGAAGGGGAGGAGCCGGTACACCTGTGCAAGACTGAAGGGGAGGAGCCGGGTACACCTGTGCAAGACTGAAGGGGAGGAGCCGGTACACCTGTGCAAGACTGAAGGGGAGGAGCAGATCTGTACACCTGTGCAAGACTGAAGGGGAGGATCCGGTACACCTGTGCAAGACTGAAGGGGAGGAGCCGGTACACCTGTGCAAGACTGAAGGGGAGGAGCGGTACACCTGTGCAAGACTGAAGGGGAGGATCCGGTACACACCTGTGCAAGCCTGAAGGGGAGGAGCCGGTACAACCTGTGCAAGACTGAAGGGGAGAGGAGCCGATACACCTGTGCAAGTCTGAAGGGGAGGAGCCGGGTACACCTGTGCAAGACTGAAGGGGAGGAGCAGGTACACCTGTGCAAGACTGAAGGGGAGGAGCCGGTACACCTGTGCAAGACTGAAGGGGAGGAGCCGATACACCTGTGCAAGAATGAAGGGGAGGAGCCGGTACACCTGTGCAAGACTGAAGGGGAGGAGCCGGTACACCTGTGCAAGACTGAAGGGGAGGAGCAGGTACACCTGTGCAAGACTGAAGGGGAGGAGCCGGTACACCTGTGCAAGACTGAAGGGGAGGAGCAGGTACACCTGTGCAAGACTGAAGGGGAGGAGCCGGTATACCTGTGCAAGACTGAAGGGGAGGAGCCGGTACACCTGTGCAAGACTGAAGGGGGAGGAGCTGGTTCACCTGTGCAAGACTGGAGGGGAGGAGCCGATAAACCTGTGCAAGACTGAAGGGGAGGAGCCGGTACACCTGTGCAAGACTGAAGGGGGAGGAGCTGGGACACCTGTGCAAGACTGAAAGTGAAAGCAACACACAAAAACACAAAATTAAGGAACACAATTATCCCTTTCCAGTCATTTGTAGTGTTCAATAGTATTATATTTGATCAATGTCACACTTGCCCCCCCTCCTGTCACCACTGCCCCCCCCCTCCTGTCACACTGCCCCCTCCTGTCACACTGCCCCCCTCCTGTCACTCTGCCCCCCTCCTTTCACACTGCCCCCCCTCCTGTCACACTGCCCCCCCTCCTGTCACACTGCCCCCCTCCTGTCACACTGCCCCCCTCCTGTCACTCTGCCCCCCTCCTTTCACACACTGCCCCCCTCCTGTCACTCTGCCCCCCTCCTGTCACACTGCCCCCCTCCTGTCACACTGCCCCCCCTCCTGTCACACTGCCCCCCTCCTGTCACTCTGCCCCCCTCCTGTCACTCTGCCCCCCTCCTGTCACACTGCCCCCCTCCTGTCACTCTGCCCCCCTCCTGTCACACTGCCCCCCTCCTGTCACTCTGCCCCCCTCCTGTCACTCTGCCCCCCTCTTCGTAGGGATTTATATGTAACAGAACCAGGATGTGAGGTGTTTTATAATGGGGGGGCAATTATAAAAGGCCGGGGGGAATGTGGGGTAATTATAATGGGGTGGGGAAGGAATTACAGGTTCATTTTAATGTGATGGGGGTAGGGGAAGTGCCATGGGGCAATTATAGAGGAGTGGGGGATTTATGATGATGGGGGGTATGTAATTGTAATGAGGGAAATAGTCCGGGGGTAATTATAATCGGGAAGGGGGGGATTGTGGGGTAACTCCAACTATGAAGTATGTGTGTGGGGGGGGGTGATTAGATGTAACGTGGGGTAGTTCTAACAGCTGGGAAGGGGGGTTATTACATGGAGAATAAATGTAACGGAAGGATATGTGAGGTATTCATAATACCGTGTGTGTGTGTGGGGGGGGGGGCAATCATTAAATTATTGGGAGGGGGAGATGCCATGTTGTACGGTTCAAATCGCATCGCATCTGCATCACAAAGTTGCAGGACCCTTTATTTTTCCCGCACCTGCTTAGCATTACATGGAAGTTCACACCCATAAACGGAGCGATGCGATTTCTGATAATCGCACTGCGCTTTGTGAGCCGCGTCGGGGGGTGTCGTTAATTTAATATTGACACCCGTACCAGATCGCATGGACGCCGTGCGTTCGCAATGCAGTGCGGGAAACGCACAGGATTCACTGCGTTTCCTGCACCGCCTTAGTGTGAGCCAAGGCTCAAGTATTTGATGAAAAAACAAAGTATAAAAAGTAAAAAAAAAATGTATATTATCAGTTTGTAGCTCACCTGTGTTGGCAGCAGGGGCGGACTGACCATTGGGGGAACTCAGGCACTGCCCGAGGGCCCGGGGTCAGTAAGGGGCCCCCATGAGATGCCCCTGGTACCTTTCATAGGCTTTTTTGGGTGTGATTTGAGTTTGGGCGAGGACACATGGGCCCCATGATCCCCTATTGCCCGGGGCCCCCATGAGTTGTCAGTCTGCCCCTGGGTGGCAGCATTAGGTTTTTTTTTAGACTTTTTTTTTCCCTTTGCCTCACTTGGTGATCCCGCCAATAAATCTTATTTTTTCAACTTTCCTTCACAGAACAAGCTCTCCAGACAAGGTAGCGGTTAGAGGGCTGGGACAAACCATTTACCACTGACAGGGGTGCTTACAACGCTCAGCTTTTATTTATTTCTGTAAATCTTTTATCCCAAAAGGAGAAAAACAAAAACACAAAAAAACACAGTTTGCTGTAACTGACTATAAAGTGTTATGCCGGCCATAGACGGGTCGAAAATTGGCCAATTTTTCGTCCAAAAAAAAAATGGGGATGATTTTCACACTGTTAGTGGGTTATTGGTCGGCCGTTTTTTCGGTTTTTTGCACAGTTTTTTTTATCAGTCATGTTGGAACATTTGCAGCCGATTTGGACGATTGGCCGATTTTCCCGGCAAGGATGGGCAAATCAGCCGATCGTTTTACCGATAAAAAATCTGTGCATGAGCTGTGACCTGCAAGGGACAGAAGTTATGGGGTGAACTTTATGATTTTGTCGGACGATTTTTTTAACGGTTGGTGGTAAACATCGGTCGAAACGAACGACCAATTTTCATTTTTTTTTTTTTTTAAAAAATGGTCGATGTTTGACCTGTCTATGGCCAGCATTAGCTGCTGCTATCAAAGGGTGTCTCCATTGCTCCTCCATCCAGAGAGGAGACACCTAAAAACGGGAAGTGTGTTACTGGCACCTGGTTAAAAAAAAAGAAAAAAAGAAAGAAAAACGAATGCAGCCACCACATCTAATGCAGGCCATAGACGGGATCGAAAACTGGCTGTTTGTTTATAAAAAAAAGAAAAAGTATGTGGTATGTTCGATCGGCTGACGTTACCACCAA